GCACACAGTAGTTGGACCGAGGCAGCCGACGCTGGAGAAGGTGTTGATGTGATCTACCTGGATTTTTCCAAGGCTTTCGATCGTCTAGACCATCGGATACTACTCTCCAAGCTGCAGCATTACGGGATCGGCGGCCCTATTTTAAGCCGGATCGCCAACTTTCTATTTCAAAGGCAATTAGTGGTCAGAGTTCGGAGCTGTTTATCGGACCCCATACAAGTCGAGTGTGGTGTGCCGCAAGGCTCGGTTCTAGGTCCACGTTTGTTTTTGGTGTTTATTAATGACCTTGCACAGGGAATCGCTTCAAACTTCCTAATGTTTTCCGACGATATCAAGATTTGGCGCAGGATATAGGCGAACGCCGACCAACATGTGCTACAAAGTGACTTAGATACGGTGTATCAATGGTCGACCCAAAACTTCTTGCATTTTAATGTCAGTAAATGCAAGGTGCTTTCCATCCGACATCACGGCAGCTACTCATACCGACTCGGAACGGATGTACTGCAACAATCAACTCTCGAACGTGACTTGGGTGTCCTGGTTCAAGATGACTTGGGTTGCTCCAAGCAATCCGAAAAGGCCTCGAAGACCGGGAACCAACATGTGGGGCTGTTGAGGCGGGCGTTTGGACAAATATACAGCTCCATATTTCGACAAATGCTCAGTGCGTATGTTCGGCCCCATGTCGAATACGCAATTCAAGCCTGGCATCCATGGCTGAAACACGACCTTAATGCACTGGAGCAGCCTCAACGCCGGGCATCTAAGAACGTACTTGGAATGCGCAATCTGTCCTACCAGGAGAGGCTGCGACGACTAGGATTGTTCAGTGGAAGCTATCGCAGTCTACGAGGCGACCTGATTATGACATACTTGATTCTGCGAGACCCACATCATGTGTGCCGCCCTTTACTGCAACTCAGCAGCAATACAAACCTGAGGGGCCACTCATTAAAACTCGCAGCACAATACAGTCGTCTGGAGTGCCGCAGAAATTTCTTTTCCACCCTTGTCTGTCACCCGTGGAATGCTCTCCCAGAATCGGTCGTCTCTGCACCGACACTAACAATATTTAAAAGACGGTTGGACGATGCACTCATCCACTTACACTTTGTTACTTAACACTATGTCTCCATCCTACACCTGGAATTATTTGTTGTTAACTGTGAGTGTTGTGAATCTGAGTGGATCGCAGGACTGCAGCGAAGCAAACGATAAGTCCTTATTTTCGTATTTAAAGTGTTAATTATTTTACTATCCTTTTCATCATAATTATTATGTTGATATCCCCACCAACTATCCAACGGGGCTTGTAAAGCAACGCTTCTTAACCCGTATAAATTCATTGTTCATTGTTCATTTCTTCCAATCATGCTGTTTAGGCTACTGTTGCTTACACATGAAGAAATAAGGCTTTGTGTCTCCAGTTTGCTGTCCAAGGAACAAACTTACCACCTTTATATCTAGATAAATATACCAGGTATGATCGTTATGGCATAATTTCACATTCTTCTTTAAGTTTAACTTAGTGGGCAATTGGCGCAGGTTCATAGTGGTTTCGGATGTACCGAAAGACACTTCAAATTTCTGCTACAGCAGTCTATAGCACGCCTCGGATGTTCCGGTTTATATATTGGTAGTCCCCTTAATAGAATTCCAGCTTCATTATTACTGTAGCCATCTCCATTGAAGAGTGACAGAATTGTCACTTCTCTTGAGTGATAAGTTGTTGTTTTCGTTTTCGACCTCAAACAGTTCTTTTTTTGAAATTGAATACTGGTAATTCAGATGCTTATTTTGACAAACTCATAGTCTCGTATAAGATCGTTTAGTTCTTTTTGTAGAGGAAATTCCTTTAGATTCGCTGCCACTGCTGTCACCTGTACCACAGAAAGGATTCATGTCTTCCCAGTATTCAAAATCGCAAAATGGAAGTTCAGTCACAGGCAAACACTTGCATGGGAACTACTGCTTTGTAGTTACCTGTTGCCTAGCCGGTTCCCGATCATAATACTCCAATTTGCGCATCATGTATTTATTGGGGTCTTTTACATGGACAGCACAAAAATAACAATCATCGTGATGGCTTGATTATTCCACACTAGATCTTGAACTAACCACGCAGTAATAGTGTACATAAGCATAAAAAACATGTGGCACATCCAGTTGTTTATATTAGATCATAAAAATGGAGCCAGTTTGTGAAATTTATTTTTATTTATAAAAGCAGCACCAAGAACGTCATTTTAAGCGACCTCCAGCCAACGAAAAATCCGGTAGGAACAGTTGTCAAGTGTCCAAATGCACCGCTATATATGGTTCAGTGTATTGGAAAAACATCGTTATTCCCAACTGCCTGGATGGTTTTACGGATGAATTTACTGAGTGCCCTCGAGTGTATGAACCGATCCACACAATCTCACATTGCATGTTGGCAACACAGTAAGTGATCCAATAAACTGAGATTGGGTGTATGGTCTCAGAGTAGACTTTCGAAGTAGGAACTCTGAGCGTTATGTATATTTTGCAGAAATCTAACCTACAGTCGAATGAGAGTGAATTACAAAGTGACTGTAACGCCAGTGAGCGGATGGATTTAGAAGGCAAACGTCGGTATTTTTACGTCTCGCCCTGACCGGTATTCAAGCGCCACCCCACGTGACCTGGTTCACTGAGGAACAAATCCAGTCTGATCTTGATATTCTTCCAATTACTTACCTGATGCATAATCACGCATTCATGTTATCTCTACTTAAACAGTCCAACCGTGATTGAAATTAGTTGTGTAGTATAAGATTTCTATCAAGTAGCGACCAACCTATCAATGATCTCTCTGTTGCTGCACCGGCCGTGTGCTAGAGGGACTAGATGCACCCAATAGAAAACTTGTGTAGAGATTTTGTCTGCATGTTGATCAATGAAAAACCGCACAGTAGGACATGCCTATCGAGGCTAGCTTGAACAGTGTGTATTCATAGCCTTATGGAGGATTAAATTGACGATGTTGTGGTCGAATTTGTAATTCCTCTCTTTAAGGGAAATTTCTGCTAAACTTGAAGGTTGGTACGCCATTCGTGTTTATCCCGACAGCAAATTCGATTATACTTTCAAGTTCGATGGGTTGATACTAGCTGCTGTTAAATCTTTTCAAAATTTCATGCAAGATTTTCCCTCGACAAATTTTATGGTAGCAAGAAGGGACGACAACAGGATACTCTGTATTCAGATATTTCGGGTATTCTCATCAGCTGTTGACATACAATCCGTGGAAAATGGTGTTGCGTTTAAAAAGTAACAACGTTCAAGGTCAGTGAGTTCAAATTTGAGATAAGCAAAAGAAATTTACCAAGGCAAGACGAGGCTAGTCATAAACTCAGTCTTTTGAAATTACCTAATCTCCTTCAAAATGGTCTACACACCGAGTGTACGGTCGTTGAAGTCTATTTCCTTGGTCAGCAGGCTACCTAGAGATGCTTTCGTCGTTTGCTTTGTGTGTCAACATTTCGACACACGCAGACTAGATCGCGATACGTTTTCTCTAGGCTCAAAGAACTTTGTGTCATCTTCTCTCATTGCAATGCACTGTAATTCGGTGTTTCCCTATCTGTCCCGCTTGATGTTGACGGAAAATAGCATCAGTATGAGGCATGATTCGTTTGTTTGTGTAGCAATTAGCATCCATTTTATTTCAATTTCATTTTGTTGCTCTGCTAACATCCGTAGTGATGGTGTAACAGCTGAAGGCGCACCATCCGAACGGGTATATTTGATTTTTAGTAGAGAGGAACTAGTGGGAATCCACAACGGAACTAGCTGATTCATCCCCACAAGCTTCACGCTTCTGAGACTGTGGGGACTGATCAGTACTATGTGCATCCATGTTATCTGCCTGCAATATGTGCGTTTACACTCCGGGTGTAATAAATATAGATGGACCGTTTACCAGCTACTCGATTTAAAGACAACAAATATTCCCCTCCGGGTGTTTCAAAACTGTAAACGCATCGGAGGAACCCCTCTCTTGAGCTTCGTCATCTGCCGCCATCTCACAAGACTAAGTGAGCTAAGCCACTGGCGTTGACAGGTCATGGGGCTGGGTCGGCAGAGGCGCTCTACTGAAGGGTCGTAATCGGAGGAACAGGCCGTCTAGCATTTTGCGGATGTCTGCTTGGATCTAACAGTGAAGAAAACCTCTACTTACTCCAAACTATAATGCGGAATGGCGCACTGCACATCACAACGAGGCGAACTTTTAACCTTCAGGAGGACACTGTTCACCGGTTCTAGGGCGCACATGTGACAAACATATTGGTACGTCGATTTCATTACTTAGGAATAGGTGTGTATAGCAAAGGAAACTTTACTGTTAGTCTGCATTGTTGACGCGAAACGGTGGAGCGAGACGTGTTGTCCAGTCAGTAATGAATCAAGCGTTTTAGAGACAGATAAGAGCAGTTAGTGCAGCTCACCACTGCATGAAGATAGAAGAGCAGAACGGTTGCTGTCATGATATAATATACGCAACTGCGAAAAACCGTGGCATCTGAAGGTGGATAAATTGTCTACTTGAGTACGCAACAATAATGCCCATTTGCAATGGGAGAACAGCTAACGGGTTCATTTTGGAACGGGCCCGAGATAGTGGAGCAAATACCTCTCGGTGGCAACGTTGAATACTTGCCACCGTGACTCGGTGGTTTAGGGCTAGAAGTTGCAGTTAACATCCGAAGGAATTTCGGGTTCGAGTGCCTGATAAAACCAAATAAGATCGAGACTGTTCATAAGGTGCAATTTTTTCTGGCGGCTAACACAATATATAGCTACTTCATTAAGGGTAGAACTTATATCCATCATCCAGTTTTACTTGATTGGTACGACATATTTGTTATTTAGTTGCGCTACTCACTTCACTTTTACCGGATCCGCAACTTAATTAATGATTTCAGTTTAATCTAGCAAGATATGAAACTCACATCGCTTTCACATCTTGCTTACAGAAACGAGGCCTGCCAAAGCAACGTAATCATGTGTCCAGCGTGCGATGAGCGACATGGGTGCCGCTTTTATCATCTTCGGGATATGTGCTTCTACATCCGCGCCTCCTATTTGTTCGACCACCCGGGAACAGTGTTTTACTCCATTTTCATGGTTATATGGGGTGGGTTCGCATTTCCACGAAATATCCATTTTATGCCATCATGCTGTTCCGCTGTCATTTTAATTTATGCCTTTGACCTTTGTGCAGTTTCGCAGTTTGCTCGTCTGAACACTTGTGGACTCGGTGAATAATCAGCTAAAGTTAATATTATCTTTCTTCCGTTATCATGTTACTTTGTGTGCGACTTGGTCTTCCAATACGAAGAAACTGTTTGGGCGAATGAATTATTGTGGACAGATGCCGTTCTTTGTATGATTGAGGCTTGGCCGAATCCGCATATGGGTCACATCACCTCGTGAAAATGCTCAGCCTTTCTCCAATTAGTATAAGATTGATTTACCAAAAGTTAGCATGCTCTCTTCTAGCTGTGACATTTTTGGAATTCTGGAAACGAAAGAACGCTAGACTTGCATATCGCTGGGACGTGATGGATTACGAAACAGTGGAGGAGCGTCCAAGGCCACAGTATGCAGCAATGTGTTCGGAGCTGGCAGAAAATCCGGTTACCGGGGCCCTAGAACCGCATTTTCCTGAGAGGCGAAGAAAAACTCGGATTGTTGCTGGGCTCGTTTTGGTCCTTCTTATGGTGAGCTTGGGGCTTTCAACTTCAAATATATCGGTTTCTATGCGGTTATTTATTTTGAGACAGTGCATTCACTCAATCATAAGCCATTTGGATGAAGTGTGCATGTATTATTCGCTTTTGCTTGCGATTTTCAGGCGCACGCTGTGCGCATGCTTTGATAAAAGTAAGCAAAAAGTGAACCAAGAGTTAAATTAGAAGCAACCTTTACGTTACACACCTGATGCTCGCCTGAATTAGTTAAGATTTCGGCGTTGTGTTCTTACAACATTTTACTTCTGTAGCAAGTTCAGTTATTATAACCTTTTAAAAGAAGATAGTCAATACACTGACTTGCTTCCGCTGCACATGTTATTCAATTGTCCGGTCTCCTGAAATAATTTTTCTCTGTAGGCGTGTTGACGCATTTTCGAGGACTTCTACCGATAAGTATTGTGTCTTAGCTTCGAGCGCTAACTCCTAGTGTCTCCGGCAGAAAAGTCAGAACAGCCACGAAACCGATGGTATTGTGTAGTATCACAACCGAGTAACACTGAATATTTTTTCGCCTTGAACTTGATTATTTGTTGCATGAAGGATCGGCCTCAGAGTGATGACCACTAAGCGTCATCATTTACTAGAACAGGTGGATTATCTACTTTATCAGTTTAATGAGTCTGGTAACTGAATCATAGTACCCAAAACACTCTGGGTGCTCAGACGTAACTGCTCTTTACATAGCACTTTGTCCTAAGTTTGCACAAGGTTGCGCACTGGTTATCCGTCAATCACGTAGCTAAATATCGGCTTACACACCATTTTTCTATGCTGCATTATGATCCGTCATTCAAATTTACTCTATTTTCGGTAAACTGCTGAGTTCACGGCTCACAGTTTAATGCTATTTCATATCAGTGATAAATGCCCACCTAGTGTACGGTTTCCATACACAATTAAGTAACCCCTGCACTGATGCGAGAGCTTCACCTGAGACTGGGCTTCTGTTGTTTACATATCGCGGTAACTGGTGGTGATACAATTGCTCAGGGGAAACAAGGCACCAATATCCATGGGACCCGATAACAAACACTGCTGCCTAATGAAGATTCTCTAAGTGTTTCAAACTTATTACAGGTCCTGCAACGGTACACGTCAATACGTCCTGCGCGGTAGTTGGTACTTTTTCTTCACTCCACACCCAATGCAATTAGTTCACCGTAAATCATCAACACACTCCTAACCAAACACTTATTCTCAGAGCTCACTGAAAATAGTTTGCATTCGAAATAATTTGGAACACTGGTAGCCCGGCTTGGTTGCTCACCTGTTGATGGTTTTTCCGAGCTTGATTAAGAAATCGCATACATTTCACCACCATGCGAGGTGGCATCTTCAGTGCGGTAATAGGCAGTGTATAATGCTGCTTATTGAATTGTCAGTCCGTCATCCACGGGCAGGTGACTTTTGAAGGTGGTAATTTCGATTTGCGCCACGTGATCTCTGCCCATTTGCTTCCACGGCTGAACCCCGTCTTGCGATTCGCTGGAGATCTTTCTTTCTGAGTTGATGGTACACGGAGTCGATGTCGATGTGCATGTTGATGGAATTAGTAGAGGAGTACCATGCTTCTAGGAACTCTCGTCCTTTCTGTGTTGTTGTTTGCATTGCCAATCCCACGTACGGATGACTGGATTGTTGAGAGACAGCAATCTGTGAACCGGTACATGTTGATTGAACCGAATGCTAAACCGAATGCACGGAGAGCACCGTGCTACTGGTTTAACTGTGTATTTCATTGTTACATGGTACGAAAGCTCGAGATACCCACAAGCAATTACAAGGCTTAAGTCCGCTGGATTCTCTTTGACACTTCGCCAGCACGGATCTCCCCAGGCCAATTACCATCCATCAATTGCGTGGTCCAATGAAAACTCAAACAATGCATATCCATGGTGCATGTGCCACGTTCTGCCGGTCGTTAGGCGCCCGATGGATCTTTCGGTGGCCAAACGACCATGAATGATGAACAAGGAATAATGATTTTATACGGGTTAAGAAGCACAGCTTTACAAGTCTTGTTGGATAGTCTGTTGGGTTACCGAAAACGTTAATGAAAAAATGCAGTTAGTATTTCTACTGTCAAACAAATGGACTTATCGTAGGTAATGCAGTAGCCCTTCACTCGGAGTGTTTACATGGTATGAATATGCGAAAAAATTAAATGCAAGGTATTTCAAGGGAATGGGATGGAGAGCGGTGGCAAGTAACAAATGATATGTGGCGGAGTGCATCATCCAGCAGACTTTTATATAGGGCTGATGTAGATGCGCAAACAACCGCGTCGGGGAGACCGTTCCACGCTTGACACACGCGAATTGAAAAGAAATTTCTGCGACACTCCAGATGGCTGTACTCTTTTGCTAATTGCAAGGAGTGACCTCTAAGGTTGGTGTTACTGTTGTGTTGCAGCAAAGAGGGGTACACATCATTTGAATTGTGTATAATCAGGTATGCCAATACCAAGTCGTTTTGTAGTTCGCGATACAGCTCGTAGAATACCCCCAAAAGTTGCAGTCTCTCTTCGTATGAAAGGTGGCTCATTCCGATGACGTATTTGGAAGTCTTACATTGAGATCGGTCCAGTGCAGCCATGGTTTCTAGGATTGAATAGTGTATTCGATATGGAAGCAAACATACGCATTGAGCATCTGTCAGTAAATAGAAGTGTCTATTTCTCCGAACGCCCGTCATAACATGCCCAAGTGTTGGTTATCACTTTTCGATGCCTTTGCGGATTACTTGGAACAACCCAAGTTATCCTGAAAAAACACGTCAAGGTCGCGTTTGACGGATGACCGCTGCAGTACTTGCGTGTTGTGAGTATCTTACGTTTGCCCACGTTGAACTGTAGCTGCTTTCGGGTTTACCGCTTGTGTACCATATCTAGCTCACACGGAAGTGAATTCCGATCGGCATCCACCTGAATCCGCCGTCAAAGTTTGATATCGCCGGTAAATAGTAAAAATCTTGAAGCTATTTTCTGTGCAAGGTCATTGGTGTATACCAAGAACAACCGTGGACTTAGAACCGAGCCCTGAGGCACACCATGAACAATGAACAATGAACAATGATTTATCACGGGATAAAAGCAAGTGCTTGACACGTCCCGTAGGATGGTTGAGGTGAATATGATGAAATCAAAATATGTCTGGGTCATCTATCGAACGTCTGCCGAGATGAATAGTTTGATAAGTAACATCAGTGTAAAATTAAAATAGATTATCGAGCGTACACGTTCAGAAAGACACTGGGGTGCAGTGATCATTGAGGTAAAGAGTGAGAAAAGTAAAATATGGTCGCTCACTTAGGTCCGTTTGATACATAAATCCTGTTGAAATGCATCCTTGGCGTAATCCACAGTAGGGGAGTTTAGGTAACAAAATGTTGGGAGCTAAGAGCAACATCTAATCGTTTTTTTGAAAACATCCAAGGTAGGAGAGGATACAACTGAGTCAGGAAGTGCGTTCCAAGGTTTGCAAACCCGAAGGGAAAAGTAATTCCGTCGACACTCTAGACGGCTGTATTGTTCCTTCAACTTTAGGCAGTTACCCCTGAGCTGAGTGTTGTGGCTAAGTTTCAGCAAACGGCTGCATACGTGATTGGGGTCACTCAATATTTGATAGGCTAATATGAGATCACCGCGCAGCCTTCGATAGCGCCCGCTGAAAATTCCCAGCAACTGCAGCCTTCAGTGGTAAAGTGATAGCGCAGGCCCTTTACATTCTTTGTTGCCCTGCGTTGTGGTGCCTCTATCACTTCTCGGTCACGCTTCAACCAAGGTTGCCAAGCTTGGATAGCATATTCAAGATACGGGCGCACATAGGAATTGTGCATCACTGGGAAGATTGATGGGTCAAATCTCCCGAATGCTCTTCGCAGCATGCCGACATGCTAGTTGCCTCTTTTCGCAGCTACCTCAGCCTGTTTTGAACAGTTGAGGTCGCTCTGTACGGTCACACCCAGGTCACGTTCCTGGGAGCTATTCTGCAGTCCGTTGGTCCCAAGTGAATAGGTGTAGTTATGACTATGGCGTAATTGTACGACGCGACATTTGTCAACATTGAACGGTAGGGCGTTTTGAAGTGACCAGTTCGACACTGTGTTAAGATCGCACTGGAGCCGTTCATGGTCTTCCGGTCCTCTGATCCTTCGCCATATCTTGATAACAACAGCGAAAAATAGGAAATCGGAAGTAATTGATCTCGCCAAATCGTTAATGAACACCAAGAATAGACGAGGTCCAAGAACCGAGCCTTGTGGTACTCCGCATGCCACATCGATTGCATCAGACAATGATTTTCGGACTCTCACCACTAGCCGTCGTTTGTGTAGAAAATTGTCAATCCAACTCAGGATTGGGTCGCCAACGCCGTAATTCCGAAGCTTGTGAAGGAGAATGCGATGGTTTAAGCGATCAAATGCTTTTGAAAAGTCCAAGTAGATGACATCGACCCCTACTCCATCATCAACAGCTTCAGTCCAGCCATTACGTGCAATTAATAGGTTAGTATTACACGAATGCTTTTGACGAAAGCCATGTTGCTCTGGGGCTATTAAATTGTGACTTTCCAGGTATTCCATCAGCGCATCTGCGAGGATTGATTCCATCACTTTGGATGGTACTGGAAGTAGTGTTATTGTACGGTAGATTGCAGGATCAGTGCGGCTCCCTCCTTTATGAATAGGAGTGATGACCCCTCGCTTCCATACTGGTGGAATACGGTTCTCCTCTAGACATCGCTGATAGAAAATAGCCAGTGGTGCTGCTAGATCACTAGCTACTGCCTGTAGAGCCTTTGATCGGATGTTGTCAGCTCCGGGAGAACTGTGGATACGCCAGCATAGCAACTTCTTCAACACAGCTCCCGCAGTGAAGGTGATGTTTTCTAAACCAGATGATGGAGTAGTAGAAATGAGGAGAATGTTCGTGCTCGTTACCTCCTGGAAAGTTCGGGAGTAATGAAGCCGTAAAAGAGCAGCTGCTTCCATTGCTGATCGCGTGCACCCGTCAGCCGTGTCTAGTGCTGGAATCCCCCGCTTTACCTTCGAAGGCCGTTAACCTGCCTGTACAGAAGTTTGCGATTCGTACAGAATCGCTTCATTAACTTCTGCTGATGAGTGACCTTGTCTTCGCGGATCAGTTTCACACAGAAGTTACGATGGGTAACGTATGCAGTCCAGGTTTCGGCATTCGGGCAGTCCTGGTGATCGCGCCATGCCAAATCCCTCCGGGACATACATTTATGTGTCCTGCTCCTCAGAAATGAATTACGCTTGTTTTTAGGTTGGAAGGACTTCTCCTCTGATGCGTGCGCTACCAGTGTACTAAACGTCCTTGTAAATGTTTCCCAGGCAACCAGATTCCACTGGTATGCGATCAGATAAGGAACTCCGAACTCGACCACTAATTGTCGTTGCAGGAGAAAGTTGGCGATGCGGCACAAGAGCGGGTCACCGATCCCGTAATATTAGAGCTTGGAAAGGAGAATCCGATGATCTAAAAGATTGGATGATTTCGACCACTCCAGGTAGATCACATCAACGACCTCTCCAGCGTCAGCTTACTCGGTCCATCTACTTCGTGGGATTAATAGATTCGTTGTGCAAGATCGCTGTCGACGAAAGTAGTGTTGCTCGGGTGCAATGTTGTAACACTTTTCCAGACAACACGGCGACGATGGATTCCATGACTTTGACTAATACAAGGAGAAGGGACACTAGGCAGTAGTTTGAGCGCTCAGTCCTGCTTCCGCCTATTTGAATCGGAGTTACCATTCCAAGCTTCCACAACGCGGGAATCTGGTTCTGATCGAACCAGCGCTAAAAGCACTGGGACAAAGGTTTTGCCATTTGTCTTGAAGCTGCTCCCAATGCCTTTTGGCGGATGGTGTCGTCGCCCGGAGTGCTGTGGTTGCGCAGAGACGTTAGCTACTGCAATGCAACTTCAGCAGTAAAAGAGATGTAAGTGAGTCTTGGAGGCGGAAAAAAAAGCTGGAAGATGGCCTGAGGTCAATTTCCTTTGAAATGTGGGAGCACATTACGTCCGCAACGTGTTTGGTGCTTCTATAGCTGTTCTAGTTGCACCAGCAGTCGTCTGAAGCTTAGGAATTCTCTGCCTCACCTTAAGACGGCCATTTTACATACTTATACTGCAGCTTGTGAACGCGCTGAAATTTTTGGCCATATTTGCTGATATGCGGATGTGTCAGCTCTGAGCAGTTGAGTGCAGTGACTTCGCTGGACTTTGTAATTTCCCCCCAGTATCTGCTGTATCTCCTCAGACTGCCTAGCAAACATTCATCCATTTTTGAGTTCTGCTTCATACGAAAGAAACGCTCTTAGGCTCAGTGTAGGCCATTGTCTTTGAGGCATCCGTAACTAGTTAATTGAATTTACTGACGAATTCGAGCCAAGCACTTTCGGGTGGCCTTTGGCGAGGAACGACCAGTTTGTGGCAATGAGGAGGTGGGCTAAACGGTCGTAGCGTTTAATGGTGCGTACCATCTTTGGGTTCTAGCGAGGATATTCCGCATAGCAGATGTACACGAAACTGATGACTGCATGGTCACTACGACCCAGAGGGCAGTCTACCACCATTACATCAGTCATTACGTTCCCAAGTGGGTGCATTTAAAATCCATCAAAAATGTTCTATTACTTTTATTGTACAGTGAAACACTGGTTCTGAGCTGTTGCAGATAGGCTTTGGATTAATCTCCCTTTGTAGCAAGAGTTTGTAAACAGTGTACGATTAAATCACCCCTGATAAGTATGTGAGTGTGCTTTCGCTTTAGACTATATCTTACAGCTGTTACAAGATGGTAGTCCATTTTCGGGGTAGAGTGTGGGGAGCGGTACACCACGTCAACGGCTGAAGCAAGATACCAGAGAATTCAGATTTTGAGTGAGCTTCTTCGTTACTCCTCAATGGAAGGTTAGAGCCACTGATGTAACCTAAAACTCTTCTGGTGAACTCACCATGTGAACTAAATTATAAATTTAAATAATGGGCATCTAGGCCGTAATACACTGGACCCAGTTCCGCTGACCTTATTCCACTTATGGGACCATGTATCGTCTGTCGGTAAATATACAAATTTAGTTTAGTTATTTATTTTTATATAAGGTTATGCAGCAGCTATTTCTTGTGAGTGGTGGATCAATCGTCCTGAATGCTAAGCTCACTGCGCCGTCCATGACATGTTGTCATATTTTGAAGCGCCTTCCAAGTTGCGCAGCAGCTTAAACATCATACCAGGCCCTACTACCACACCGCTCCACTTTAAAGTGTCAACCAGCAATAAAAATTTCTTTGAATGCAATTACAGTGCCCTAAGTTGCTGCGCATTAGAGTACCTATGGTGAGGGACGTAGTCCTATCCACTCAGGCGCAATACCGAGCTGGAACTATGCAAGAGAATTAAGCATGCTTGTTATATCGTTTACTAGCAATACAAATCATCAATACAAGTCAACAATCCCAAATTTCCATCAATCAATATGAATGATACTCCGGGCCATATGTACCTAGAAAACTCGCCCACCTTCATGATGAAGAGAACAAGAAGAAAAAGGTAATGCCACGCAGCGCCGAACAATAGTTCATTGTGTTTCTCTTTCACAACAGTATGGTTTGGCCCGGCAATAAAATAATGGGACGCCTCCTGGAGAAACGCTACACATAACTGTGTCCTGTATCTACGACCCCCAGTATGGCCACTGAACTGTCGCTGTACTGTATGTGTCGCCTGCAGCTTACTATGCCTTCTGTACGGTTATTCGGAAAACCCAGCTTTAGTTTAACCACTGAGTTCAGAAGAGGGGATGGTTGTGACCGACAACTAAAATCTCTCCCTATCTTAGTTACGACGCGCGAAACCGTTGAATTAGCAGCTAACAGTCTGTGTCCTCTGGGATGTGCTTAATCGACAGCTACCGTCAAGGAAGCGGATTGCTTCCGCTAGAAGATTGAGGGTAGTAACTGCGCTGGCACCATAGGGCCACGCGTTATAATGCAACAGCCACATTATCTCCGGATAGTTATCGGTTTATCCTTGAACATATCACTTACCTTTATTGACTAAATACTTTTCATAAACGGAACCTAGAATGGCTTTACACTGTCTCACTGTCTGCAATGTTTTGCTCCCTGAAGGTTCCTGTTCGAGGCGATTGATAATCAGCTGAACAGCTAATACCGAACTGCTTGATGTTCGACTGCCGTAACCTCCGTCCATTTACCTTTTATACTTCAGGCTATTTCTCTGTCAGAGACCTACTGTTTAACTTCCAAAGAACTATTTTATTTTCACCGTTTAGGCTGCAAACCTTGATAAAACACTAGGGTTTTCTTATCGCAAAATTACACTTAAACAAGCAACTGCATTGCAGCCCTACAGTTTACGCCACCGAATGAGAGTTTCGTGGCTAATCTACTATCCTGTAGTAAATTTAAGATCGGCGTACATAAATCATAAATGACTGTGCCATGATCACGTTCATTGAGGGATGGGAGCTTCTACAACCACAATTATTGTTAGTTAACTAAGCTTATGAGAAATGCGAATGAAGGCAGTTAAAAGGATTATCGCAACGAATGAAGAATCAATTAATACGGGTTAAGAAACACTGCTTTACAAGTTCCGTCGGGTGGTTTGGTGGGGTTATTAAATAAATGACAATAAAACAGTTAATAGTCCAAGTATGCAAGGAAGGACTTATCATTTGTTACACTATAGTCCTGCAATCAGCATATTTTCACAACACCCACAGGTAACAGCAAATAAATCCAAGGAATATTTCAGTAGCAGTGTAAGTGGACGCGTGCGACATCCAACGGTCTTTTAAAAATAGCTAGTGATGGTGCAGCAACGATCGATTCAGGGAGGGCATTCCACGAGTGACAGGCGAGTGGAAAAGAAATTGATACGGCATTCTAAACGGTCGTGCTGTTCTTCTACTTTCATGGACTGCACTCACAAGTTTGTAACTGCAGAGTCAGTAGCATAGCAAATACTTTGTCGCCCTGGGCGGTGGTAAGATTTTTGCCTTAACCGTGAAGGCCAGACAATCAACTCAGGGTAAAGTGCACATTAGTTTTCGATGAAATGGATTATCGTTTGGGACATTGATGTAAATGTGGTGTAAGTGCCCACAACGGGACAGGTAAGGGGAGCGTTAGATAGAAGTTTTGTACAGGTGTGACACATGGCGCAACGATGTTGTTGGTTACAGAGAGTAACAAGAAATTAATCACCTCACATTTCCTCTGGAAATTTTGCCCGTTACATTAGGTATCTAACACTCTACTGCACTAAAAATGCAGCCCCCTGTCAATTCCATCTAGGTCGACCGCCGCCCCGTCCCCTTTGTTACTCATCTGTGCTTGGTTGAAGTAAAGAGCGACAAACATGATTTTGGCTGTACATAATCCAATGCACCATTTTCAGGTCGCCTGGTAATCGGCGTACCGTCCACTGAGTACTCCAAAACGTTTCAGCCTTTGCTCGCATTGTATACTGCACATTTCAGTGAAGTAATTGGGTGCCCGTCGTGAAACCTGGCCCAGTGCATTGAGATCCTGTTTCAGTCATGGATGCCAGGCTTGCATTGTGTATTCGACATGGGGGCAAACATATGCACTGAACACTTGTTGGCTAACAGTGATGTGTATTTGTTCAAACATCCGCCTCAACAGCCCGACGTGTTTGTTCCCAATTCTCAGTGCCTTTGGGATTGCCTAGAACAACCCAACTCATCTTGAATCAGCACACCTGCGTCACGTTTGAGGGATGATTGCTGCAGTACATGCGTTCCGAGCCTGTAGGAGCAGCTGATCTGGTGTCGTAGGGAGTGTAGCTCGTATTTGCTCCCGTGGAAAGGCAGTAAATGTTCGATGGACCACCGATGTGCTGTGTCTGTCACTCTGAACCAGACGCTGGTCCGCATTCAACTAAAGCCTGCACCAGCTTTTTATGTTATCGGAAAGAGTAGAAATTTTGAATTAACTACTTGTACAATCTCACTAAGAAATACCAAAAACAATCATAGATCTAAAACTGAGCCTTGCAGCATAACACATACAGCCAGAGTAGGGTTAGATGAGAAGCTTCCAAGTCCCATTACTAACAGTGGTTGAAGGAGAAAATTGGCCATCCAGCTTAAGTGAGGCTCACCTCTGCGGTACTACTTGAGCTCAGGAAGGAACATCTGATGATTCAAAAGACCGAATGCCTTCGAAAAATTCTAGTTGATCACATCAACCTAACGTCATCTGTCTCGTTCCAATCACTCCATGCTCTCAGTAAATTCACTGTGCCCGATCGCTGTCGATAGCTATCTTGTTCTGCTAGTATTAATTGGTGCACTCTATGGTTTGTATTACCGCTGAGTTGCAGTAACAAGCGGCACGAATGCTGTGGGTCGTGCAGAATTAATTAGGCCGTTACCAGTTTCCCTCGTAATCGGAGCTATCGAACGCTGAATATACAGGAGCGTATCACTCTCTGCTAACATGGGATATAGAGCATTCCAATGCCTGACCTGAAGGCCCGACGTTAAGACTACTCTAATGAATTGAGATCGTGTTTCGACCATGTATACCCGGATTGAACTCCGTATTCGACATGGAGGAGAACATACACACTGAGCATTTGTCATAAGTAGAGATGTCTATTTTTCCGAATTCCCGTCGTAACAGCTTTCGAAACTGTTTCGGATTGATTGGATCAACCTAAGACCTATTGAACCAAGAAACCCAGATCACCTCCGACGGACGATTGGTGCAGTACCTGCGTTCCGAGACTGTATGAGTAAGTACGCTGGTATCGTATAGAGTACCTTGCAGTTACTCATCTTGAACTGCAGCACATTTTGGATTGACCACCGATGTACCGTGTGTAAGCCACACTACGCAGATGCTTATCGACATTCCATTAAATCCTACTTCACAAGTTGATGTCGTCAGCAACCAGTAGGACTGTGACCCACAATTTCGTTGACGGAGAAAGTTGACGATCCAGCTTAGAAGTGAATCACCTATACTATAAAACCGGAGCATGTAAAGAATTACTAGATGATCTAGACGGTCTAATACGTTCGAGAAATTAAGATAAATCACAGTAACATCTTCCCAAGGGTCATCTGATTTGGTCTAATTGCTCCGTGCGATTAGTACTTTCGTTGTGCACGATCGCTGTTGACGAAAACCATGCTGCTATGGAGTAATGATGATGCAGTTTTCTAGTTAGCACTCCAGTGAATCGGTAATGATGGCTTCCATAAGCCTGGACAGCCAAGGATAAAACTACTGGGCGACATTTTGTAAGTTCAGTCGGTTTTCGCCTTTATGAATCAGACTCATTATGCGCAACTTCCACGTAGGTGAAACATAGCTCTGGTTTAAGCAGCGCTGGAAGAACTGAGCTAAAGCTTTTACCAACTGCTGCTGCTGCTGCTGTTGTTGTTGTTGTTGTTGCTGCTGCTGCTGCTGCTGCTGCGGCTGCTGCTGCTGCTGCTGCTGCTGCTGCTGCGGCTGCTGCTGCTGCTGCTGCTGCTGCTGCTGCTGCTGCTGCTGCTGCTGCTGCTGCTACTGCTGCTACTGCTACTGCTACTGCTGCTGCTACTGCTACTGCTGCTGCTAGTGCTATTGCTATTGCTAGTGCTATTGCTGCTGGACGAATGGTATCGACACCAAAGGAGCTGTGCTTGCATAGAAACGTCAGCTGTGCCAAGAGCGCTTCAGTAGTAAAAGTGATGTAAGTGAGCCCTAGTTGCAGGACAACAAGTGCTGGAAGATCATCTGATGGCGAATCCCCCTATAATATGGGGCATACTGCGTCCGCAAAGCATTTGCCACTTCTGTGGCCGTTATAGTTTGGACCTCAGCCATCCTGAGGGAAGGGAATCCTGACCTCATCTGAGTAAGGCAAGTTACATGCATGTACAATCGTTTATGGCTAGCGCTGAAGGCTTTTTGCTATGCTCTTGTGATATGTGGCTATGTAGTCTCTGAGCAGCTGACTGCAACGGTTATGTCTGGCTACATAGTTTTCCTAAGTTACTGCTTACGCTTACCATGCTCGTTGCGTACTTACCTCCAATTTGGGTTCTGCTCCTTACGAAATAGTTGATTTCAGATCTATTATAAGCTCTTGGTTCTGAAGCATCTTTAATCGACCGATTGAATTTCTTGATCAAATCAGGCCAAGCGACTTCCGAGCGGTCTTCGGCAAGAAATGACTAAGTTGTAGAGCGGACGATCTGGGCTAGTCGAGCATAACGGGTGATAGTACCCACCGTCTCATTGTTCTCATTCCGATATTCCGCAAAGCAGGCGAAGTTGAAACAAATGACTACATGATCACTGCGACCAAACGGGCAGTCTACAACCAACACATAAATCATTTGTTCCTCCTTGATAAGCACAAGGTCCAGCAAACACGACCTGTTACTTTTTCTGAACCGGAGCAGGTCAGCTTAATACACATGCATTGTGACCCCTGTGTAAACCATGGTCGTGAGATGTCCTCCAATACAGTAGATGGGTTTCCGGCGTAGACCACTGACCTAATAG